AAACCAACTCACTTTTACATTTATAATATTATTTAAGGATATTACGCGCTGATAATGTAGTTTTCTATAAGTGAAAGAATTTTTAAAATCAGTTATGTAATTTTTAAATATTATGTACAAAATGTCTAGGTTATAGTATTTTAATAAATTTTGCATACCAGTATTTTGGTGAAACATGTAGCTCGAAGTGTACACAACTGGCTACGGTAACCACTTACCATCAGGTGAGCCGTATGCTTGTTTACCACCTCAGTGGTATAAAAAACAACTAAACATCTAATGTAAGCATTTTTAATGCAAATAAAGAATCTGATTCTAAAATCTCATGAAATCAAACGTATTACCTTTATATTATTAGATTCTGTTGTCCTATATCACTGTGATCTGTGAACAATTATTATACCCATATATATATGAACGCAACACTTAAACTTTTAAATTAGGTACAAAGCTATGCAGTGCTACGGTAAAGCTTTTGACGGCACCCGCAACCGACAGCGCCGTAGACACAGTTCGGTACCTGTTTTCCAATCACGGCGGAGCTGCAGCCGAGCTTGTACAAACAGCGAACTTGTGTTGCTCGTGTGTACTCACCGTCACCGACCCGTAATGGACGAGCTACCTACATACGTCTACCGTACAAACAGTACTCACGAAACTTAGCCGAGTCCTCTTTCTAACAGAGAATGTTTAACCTTAACTTATTTTGTGTATATTTATTACATATTAAATAAATCGCCGTGTGGTAGAATAGGCCATTCCTTTCTTTCCCGTAGGTGTCGTAAGAGGCGACTAAGAGAGAGCGGGGGATAGGCAGCAGCGTCCTTCTTAAAACATCTCTAAAGCCTAACTGCGGTTGCCAATTCACCTGCCAAGCGTGGCAACTACTGGCAAAATCCCCAAGAGTGAGGCTTATGTCCAGCAGTGGACAGTTTAAGACCGATATGGTGATGATGAATGAAAAACTGAATCTATAGTTTATTTTCTCTTCACAGAAAGCAGTAAAATGTAACAACTGGAGGTACAATTAAATATGTGAAACCAGTTTTGTGAAAGACTAGTAGGCACCAGGCAGTAGGTTTTGAAAAGACCCATGTCCCACGTCACAAACCAAACCAAAGTCACAAGTCCATGATGATGAGATATTAGAGAAAGATCGTATGAAAGCAAGTAGTTTGCTTGGACGAAGCCTCTCTCCTACTCGTGTATGTGTCGCCAAGCAGCTATATTTGCATATGGTTTCTCTTTGAAGAGATAATTTTTTTTTTTATTATAAGATAGATTTGTGCTTGTCCTTACCTCACCTGATAGTAAGTGGTGATAAAATGTAGGATGGAATGCGCTCACCCTAGAAATACTTATTCGTCACCAATATATGTAGTAATAAAAGTGCAGAACCGTAAAGATAACTTAATAATACTAGAAGAGAAGTGTTGCCAGTAGCGGGGACTAGTAGCTCCATTATTAGTAAAATAACCTGCAAAATATATCTATCCTTACTAATGCTATAAATATAATTGTGAGTTTGTTTCTCCGGTTACATGTATATTGCCATAACTAATAATGTAATTTTTAAAATATTGTTAATCTAGTATTACTTAATTCCTTAAAATTGTTTACTTCATTTCATACTGTAGGTATAATTATGTTAAAGTAAATGCTGTGAATACCTTTAACAGGCATGTGCATTAATATTGTATTGTATTGAATGTTTGTTATATGTATTATAATGCAATATACTGTTGGTGTTCCTATCGATAAATAAATAGGCCAACTCTTCTACTAAATATGTCAGTTATAATTGCCAACACGCAAAATATAATTTCCCCTATATAGCTGTCACACTACAGCTTCTCGTACGCTAGCCATCCCTTTAATCTATATACGTCGCTCGCGGTACGTGTGCTCACATACGCCTCTCGTCTCGCTGCATTAAGATAATAGCACAATACAAGCCTGTTTGTTGAGCGGAGCGCACTCGAAACGACCTAGTGTAATTCAATATGAACTAGCTACAACTTCACAAACACATTGTGCACGACGTAGCTGATTGTCTATAAAAAGGCGCCATGTTCTCTAAAGTGCTCGCAGTTCGTGACTGAGAGGATTAGAAGGTTAGTGATTACCATCAGACGTCCGTCTGGGCACATGGGACGTACGGTTTATATAATAAAATGCATTGTTAAATGGAAACTCAAAATAGTAATACTTTTTTTAAGCTGAAATCTGTCTAAATTTGATTGTAACATTGCGGCTTCATTAAATACTGAAGTATGATAAAGAAAGAAAAAAATTTTTCCAACTCCATAATGTAATTTTACTATTTTTTTTTCTTTTGCTAATTCAGGGTTGCCAGATGCGAATTTTGATTTTTACTCAAACGTTGAATACTATCGTGATTTTTACCCCTAACACAAAGTTGTGTCGTTTTTTATTACATTTTGTCATGTGCCATAAAATAAACGACAAAAAAGCCATTCCATCTGTAGTAAAAGTAAAACTTTTCCCTCCTTCTCTTTTTTATTATGTACCTTTAGTCATATATTTTAATGTAATTATATGCCTTTAATACATGTACCTTGTATACATGTGTGTTTACAACTACGAAAACTATTGCCCAAATTTCTAAAAAAGTTACTCATTTTTCACTTTTCTCCAAAAATTTCTGAAAGGATTCTATTTCTCCAAAAATTCGACAAACAGAAAAAAAAATTACCCGAAAATGCAAAAAAAAAAACAATATCTGGCAATACTGAGCTAATCTATGAATATATAGAGTGAACCGTCTTTGCTTAGTCCTATGGAACGTAGCGTCAACATAAAATGCTAGAGAGGTTTTTCTCTTTTTTAAACTAGTTAAATAACTTTTGCCTTGATATACCTATTAGTGCTAAAAATTTTACAAATTTATTCACTAACAATATTCAAACAATAACGAGTACATACATTTACCTTATTATAAGAACTAGTCGACTCCGCATTTTGACCATCTTATTATAAAATTAATGAAAATTGTTCAAGCCTTTACTGTCTATTAGTTAATAGTATTCGCTAACAATAGGCCCATATAACTAGCTTATATGAATGGCTAACATTTGCACAATATATAATAAGTAATTGTCAGCGGTAGTAGATTTATTTGTTCCAAGAATTTCAATATGGCGTATAGCAGTGTCGACGCGGCGACGGGCCGGCCCAACTCGTCGAAATAATCTGCGTTGTTTCACAAAATTACCAAACTTCTGAGTGTTTTAGCGCCCTCGTTCGACGGTAAGAAAACACATTTGCGTTAGGTAGGCCCGAAGTGCGTACTTTGCAATTCCGTACGATTGCCTACTCCTACTTCTTTCTCGGGATTTTATTGTTTTTAGTACGTACTGACTTTCAAAAAGCGGTCGATTTGCTAGTACCTACGCAATTGCATTTTTATTTTCTTACATTATTTTAAATGGCGATGCTTATATAATTGTCATTTTCTCGTAGCATTTAAAAGGAGACTAGCATATCTAAATATATGTTACTGATTGCGTAAAGTAATGTCAATCAAAGTAAAGTTTATTTTGGAAGTGGCAGGTAAAACAAAATCAAACTCAAAGGATGACGTTGAAAAGATGAATGTGTACGAAAAATAAGTTAAGAAAGAAAAGTGTACCTATACAGTTGACTGTAACTCATTGCACCAACTATGATGACGAAGCAATAATTACATAGATCATTAAACTACAAGCTCAGTGTTTAATAGTCCACGCTAAATAATAAAATTCAGTCAGTAATTTGCGAATACAAAAGCGTCTCTCGTTACTTGGAAGTCGTTTATTTTATGACTGTCATAAATTGTCCACTCTTCTCCCGGAGGATTGTTTATTCCGTTCTGTTTACGATTTATTCCTTCAAGAATATTCTGTCCTCTTTACCTAAAAAAATTACCACGCAATCAATTGGAAAAAATAACAGAAACAAATTTTGACAGAGAATCACGAATTTTTCATTATATTTTTGCAGTGACACGCGAAATTATTGCTTGGAATTGTAAAAATATAATTATGTTAACAGACAAACTTATTATGTATTTCATGTAATAATTTAATTAGAAAATGTATTTTACTAAACTAGATGTTATCTTGCGGAAGTCGATATCACTGGTTAGGCTGAAAATACTTCGTTTAGAAGTAAAACACATGTCGTGAAACAAACGTGAACAGAATTGCAGCGAAAAGATGTGGAACTTCTGATAGTGGTGGTCAATTTTCAAGTGTTGACGGACACACACGTACGGTAGCGGAATTAAACTAAATACTTCTTATCAAATAACCAAAAAATATAAACTGAATCAAAATTAAATATATTTAGAGAGCAGTTATAAGATATTGATTTGTACGATCAATGGAACTTGAGTGTAAGAATTAATATTGCTAATGAATTAATTCAAAAAACGATTGCGATCGAATACGAAACAAAATATGAGGTACATACACTTTACTCAATACTACAATATACCTCTGTCCCATTCGTGTTTTAACCGTAAAGCAGTTGTGTTTGCATGGCTGTTTTTCGGTTTGAAGAGTGGAATATGGCGTACAGGGTACAGAGGAATAACATCTGAGTCCTCAGGAATGGCAACACATGGAGGGTATCATGGGCGAAACAGTATACTCTGCTATGTCCATGATACTGCTCATGTGTATAGGCGACGGTTACCACTTTCCATCAGGTGGGCCGTCATCTTGTTTGCCATTCTAAGTTGTTCTAAGTTGTATAAAAAAAAACTGTCTTAATATATGAAAATCCCGTATCACGACAGTCATTCACGTCAATCTCTAAAACCGCTTATCCGATTTTAAATACGAGTACAATTTGTAAATAATTATTGTTTGCTCCGAGAGAGATAGGATATTTTTATCGCAGTATATAAAAATAGACCTATTAAGAGAGAACCCAACGTTTGCTAGATCAGCGACTATATTATAAAAATTGCAATTTCCCTAACCAAAGCACCTCAGACTCGGCGGCCCAGGCGTGGACGCGCACGTCCGCCACGAGGCCGGCGAAGCGGTCCTGCACGCCAAGTTCCTAATCAACGAGGGTGCGCTGGTCACGGCGACGGCTGACGACCAGCTGCACCTGTGGACCTTCAGGCAGAAGTCACCACAACGGGTCCAGTCGCTCAAGTTTCAAAGAGAAAGGTAAGAGCCGTTATAATACCTCACATACAGTTGTATCAGTACAAACAAGGTTGGGAATTTACACCGCATGCCTGATCCTCGAGCTAGAATACCTCGTCTCGAGAGGAACCTGGCAACGAACATCTGCGGGCACAATTCAGAACACCCAAACCAAAAGCAATTAGATCTTAATTCTAATAATAATAATAATACTATTACAATAAGTTATATAATAGTTATATATTACAATTTTAACTGTTGCACTGCCGAAAATAATAAGATTTGATAGATTAGATTAACCTTGGATATTTTACACAGCGTCATTACAGTTATTTACCAGTAGGGTAAAGTAAATAGAATTATTAATATAGATTCTCGTACTAGACAACGGATAGAAACACCTATTTTTTTATAAGGAAATACCTAAATCATAATATGTACTCAGCCTAATAAAAACTTACATGCTCACAAATTTTATAAAAAATATTTATTTATTTACAAGAAACATGCTAAGTATATACGTAGATGTTAACAATAAATATAAGTCCACATATTTCGCCTGCAAAGCATGCAAAATCTAAAAACCCAAGAAGTATAAATATTGATTGGATTAAAACAATTAGTAATAACACTTCTTAGAACAATTTTTTTTTTATCCCACTTAGAATGGCAAACAAGCTGATGGAAAGTGGTAACCGTCGCCTATACACATGAGCAGTACCATGGACATAACAGAGTATACTGTTTCGCCCATGATACCCCCCATGCGTTGCCATTCCTGAGGACTCAGGTGTTATTCCTCTGTACCCAGTAATATACAGAGGGAGACTTTGTACAAAAGTCGATTGCTTGGGTACCTCTGTCCCATTCGTGTTTCAACCGTGAAGCAGTTGTGTTTGCATAACTGTGTTTCGGTTTGAAGGATGGGATATGGCGTGAATTTACTGGGTACAGAGGAATAACACCTGAGTCCTCAGGAATGGCAACGCATGGGGGGTATCATGGGCGAAACAGTATACTCTATTATGTCCATGGTACTGCTCATGTCTATAGGCGACGGTTACTACTTTCCATCAGGTGGGCCGTCAGCTTGTTTGCCATTCTAAGTAGTATAAAAAAAAAAAAAAAAAAAAAAAATACAATTTACTCGTATATACAAACATCACATGAAGGATGGCAAGGCGATGTATTTAACCACTACTACGCCACTAAGATCGTCACATTGACGATATGATCTAGCTATGTAATAGCTTATAATGCTAATGTGACTCCTCTTTTTATTTGCACCTTGGCATGGCAAACAGGCTGAGGATCTCTCCGTTGGTGATGTGTAACTATCGCCTACAGCTATAAGGTCATAAACGTCACTTCATATTCCATGACTATACTCATAATATAAACTTTTTCCATTAACATATCCTCATTTAATGTCTACATACACTTATTTTTGACATCAAAACTAAATAAACCATAAAACTTGCATTTTTTTTATTAAACGGTTTTATTTAGCTCGACCTGTACGGTATTTATTTATTTGGGTCAAAATTAGAAATTGGAATTTAAGCACCTTCCCGTTGTCAGATTGATCTGAAATTTGGTACACACATTTAATTTAGATGACAATACAATATAATAAAATCAATAACATTATAAATCTAAGATGGCCGCCGATACAAAATGGCGGATTACATATTTTTCCTTAACCCCCACAATATGGGTATCAAATGAAAGGGTTACACTAGTAAAACACGATGATTATGTCAAAATTTAAAATTCAAGATGGACGCCGTTCCAATATGGCGGACTAGGTACATATTTTTCCACAACCACCACAATATGGGTATCAAATAATAGGACTACACTGAGACACCCAGACACTAGACACTCGGACACTAGACACTCAGACACTAGACCCTCAGACACTAGACACTCAGACACCCAGACCCTAGACACACAGACACTAGACACTCGGATACAAGACACTCAGACACTAGACACTCAGACACTAGACACTCGACACTCGACACTCGACACTCAGACACTAAACACCAGACACTAGACACTCGGACACTAGACACTCAGACACTAGAGACTCGACACTCGACACTCGACACTCAGACACTAAACACCAGACACTAGACACTCGACGACACTCGACACTCGACACTCGACACTCGACACTCGACACTCGACACTCGACACTCAGACACTAAACACTAAACACTAGACACTAGACACTAGACACTAGACACTCAGACACTCGACACTCAGACACTAGACACTCGACACTCGACACTCAGATACTAAACACTAGACACTAGACACTCCGACACTCGGATACAAGACACTCAGACACTAGACTCTCAGACACTTGACACTCAGACACTCAGACACTAGACACTCGAAACTCGACGCTCGACACTCGACACTCGACACTCGACACTCGACACTCGACACTCGACACTTAGACACTAGACACTCAGACACCCAGACACTAGACACTCAGACACTAGACACTCGGATACAAGACACTCAGACACTAGACTCTCAGACATTTGACACTCAGACACCCAGACGTTAGACACTGAGACACTAGACACTCGACACTCGACACTCGACACTCAACACTCGACACTCGACACTCGACACTTGACACTCGACACTCGACACTCGACACTCGACACTCGACACTCGACACTCGACACTTGACACTCGACACTCGACACTCGACACTCGACACTCGACACTTAGACACTAGACACTCAGACACCCAGACACTAGACACTCAGACACTAGACACTCGGATACAAGACACTCAGACACTAGACTCTCAGACACTTGACACTCAGACACCCAGACACTAGACACTCTGACACTAGACACTCGACACTCGACACTCGATACTTGACACTCGACACTCGACACTCGACACTCGACACTCGACACTCGACACTCAGACACTCAGACACTCAGAAACTCAGAAACTAGACACTCAGACACTCGACACTAGACACTCAGACACTCAGACAGTCAGACACTCAGACACTCAGACACTAGACACTCAGACACTAGACACTCAGACACTAGACACTCAGACACTAGACAATCAGACACCCAGACACTAGACATACAGACACTAGACACTCGGATACAAGACACTCAGACACTAGACTCTCAGACACCTAGACACCTAGACACTCGGACACTCGACACTCGACACTCGACACTCAGACACTAAACACTAGACACTCAGACACAAGACACTCAGACACTAGACACACATCTCACCAGATGGATGGTGATGATGTGGTCTTAGACGAAGCTTGTGGACCCGAGAATAGCCTATTCACAATTGCTTTAAATTAGTTGTGATTATTTTTTATTAATAAACGGTTTTATTTAGCTCGACCTGTACGGTATTTATTTATTTGGGTCAAAATTAGAAATTGGAATTTAAGCACCTTCCCGTTGTCAGATTGATCTGAACGTGCCGAGGACTGTATGGCATTAGGGTGGATAAAAATGTAATGTCGTAAGCGCTTCCCCCTCAAGATTGGGCGCATCTTGTTGTATATTAAGCCTTGCCCCTTTACTGGACTGCGGTGGGGGGGGGGGGGGTCGACCGTCAAAATGCCCCTTAATCATGGGAACAACATGGTAACAATAAACAAAAAATACCAACAAATATAAATAAGACTGGAGGCTTACCATCAGTACTTGAAATATTTGTAGGTGCAAAAGTAATGTTGCGGTCCAATATTGACGTTACAAAAGGATTGGTAAATGACGCTATAGGCCACATTACAGAAATTTTGGCCTCAGTTCCGTTGAACCCAAATGTACGAAACAGATATATCATCAGTTTTAATTGACTTTGGCACAGACGGCACGCACGTTATTTACCCTAAAGCCATACAGTTTCCAGCAAAATTCAATTATGGTAAGGCTGAAAAAAGGATGTTGCCCTTAGTTTTGTCATGAGCATTCACCGTCCATAAAATGCAGGGCAGTACCGTCGACCATGCAGTAGTATATTTGGGCGCAAAATGGTTTGAGGAAGGACAAGCATATGTGGCTCTAAGTCGAGTCAAGTCTCTGGAAGAGCTATGTATTGAGGAATTAGATTGTACTAAATTATCAGATAAGAAACCATGTAATAATGATGCACTGAATGAATTAAATAGAATGAGGAATATTCGGTAAACAATTTCACTAAATACTAAAAACAAGAAAATAAAAATCGGTAAAAAAACTTTTAAGTTAAACGGTTTTATTTTATGTGCACTGAAAACTACAAAATAAATAAATAGTTACTTACCTATCAACCTACGTAGGTGATCTCGGTCATTAATATCTCTGATGGTAGTGGTTATCATAACATGAACCATGTCAGCGGCCGAAAGGCAGTTCATGAGAGAACACTAACACCAGGGTTTGCTTGGTAGGTAAACTAAGCAGCCCACACTATAACAAGTAGGTATTTTGACCTTCTAGTTCAGAAATATTTTAGTACTAGGCAGAATAGCTTTTAGGCATATTAGACTAAAATAAAAACGTGGGGCCCCTCTAAAATCATACCTATAGCAGAGCATATCTTATACTTTGGTAGATCATGAGCTCGGCGTTCGCTGGTGAAGCCGTAACGGCTGGTTATTGATGGTCAAAACCTCCAGTTACGATTATAGTAAGTCGATTCAGCGGACCCTGGACTCCGGAGCTATGAGATTTCGGATGCGACCGGGATAAACCGCTAGGATGATGATGATGACGATTATAATAAGTCGATGCAATCCACACTTAGTATAGTAGAAAGTAATACAGAAATAGTTAATGGGCCCCACGTTTTTATTTTAGTCTAATATGCCTAAAAGCTATTCTGCCTAGTACTAAAATATTTCTGAACTAGAAGGTCAAAATACCTACTTGTTATAGTGTGGGCTGCTTAGTTTACCTACCAAGCAAACCCTGGTGTTAGTGTTCTTTCATGAACTGCCTTTCGGCCGCTGACATGGTTCATGTTA